AAAGTGGGCTGTGTCGTTTGTTTGGTGTTGTTTTTATTGCAAAGCTACACATTGGGCTATTTACGCTCTGTCCATCTCAAACGATTGAAGCACGGATTTTAGCATTGTAAGATAGATTGGTTTGGTTTGAATTTCGCGCAAAGTTGCTAGCCGTCTCTAATCAGGCCCTGTGTTATAGTCATGAGACCAACTGGAGTACCACATCCAAAGTGTAAAAAAATATTATCAGCCCATCTGTGATGTGGCACCACATTTACAAGTGTAAATAGCATCTTCGGTGCTATACTTCACATAAAACACAGTTTTAAGATGAATTTTGAATTGTCAACGTCTTTAACAATAAAGGCTGTTGAGATTCCTGAAAGTGTTATTACTACAGCAGTTACTGGTTGATATCATACATGTTTGGTTTGTTTCGGGTAAAGCTACACGAGGGCTATCTGCGCTAGCCGTCTCTAATTTAGCAGTGAAAGACTACAGGGAAGGCAGCTAGTCATCACCACCTACCGCCAATTCTTGGACTACTATTTTACCAACGAATAGTGGGATTGACCGTCACTTTATAACGCCTCCACGGCTAAAAGGGCGTGCATGTTTGGTGGGACGAGGATAAGATAGATTGTAGAAATTATTGATTTTTAAATACTCTAGTTTTAATGAAATTTTCTAAGTAAGCTCTGTGTCTTAGCGGTAAGCTTAAGGGCTTATAACGCTAAAATTCGAGCTCGATCCTTGTGATGGACAAAACCCTGATATCCCACCATTGTGTAATTCTATGCTTAATAGCAAATCATAACCTTCTATAAAATCAATTGAAAATGTCACCTATAGTTTCCATAGCTTATTTTATTCAGTTAAAAATATTGAGAAATGAAATTGATATTTACGTCTTTAGCAAGTCAGTTTAAAGTTCAACTTTCTAGATATACCAATCACTTGGTTATAAAGATTCCTTAAATTTCTGTAATTTTTATTCAATGATGTCCTAACGCGCTCGGTCCAACACATTTGAATATTATTTGTTCCTTTGTTTCACAATTTCGCACAAACCGACACAAAGGTTATCTGCGCAAAGTCGTCGTAAATTTGATAGGCTAGAGGGAAGGTAGCTAATCAAAAGTGCCAACATCCAACTTTTGGGCTACTCTTTTTCTGATCTTATAGAGGGATTAGATCCTTACCTTTTTAACGCACACTCATGGCCCCACAGTGCGAAACATGTGTTTCAGTAACGGGTAGCGATTCATGAATCCATGGATTCTAAGTTCGGAAGCGCTAATAACTAGGACACACCCAGCCCACCACTGATAAATGAGAAGTTCTGCAAAACATTATTATAATCATCTTACGTTTCACATTATTCTAGTTGTCTTATGTTTCACATTATTCCAGTCGTTTTATATTTCACATTATTTTAGTCGCCTTCGTATCATATTATTATGATCATGCTATGTGTCTTTTTATTCTAATCACCTTATTGTTTACATTATTTTTGTCATTTTATCTTTCACATAATTCTATTCGTTTTATCTTTCACATAATTTTATTCGTATTATCTTTTACATTATTCTAGTCATCGTATATCCCTCGTTATTCTAGCAATCTTATGTATTTCGTTATTCTAGCCATCTTATCTTTCACAACATTCCATGAATACAGGTATATTTTGTGCTGCAAGTGCAATGCCTAGACTCAAGATCAAATTCTTTATAAATATTAGTATGCATCACGCACATCCATCCATTATGTACATCACACACATCTATCTACTTTTCTTTATAAGTTTTATATACATCACCTACATCAAATCAATATTGTTTACTAGTCTTGATATACATCACGTATATAAATCCATTACTAGCCGCTACCCGCAAAACATTTGCAGTAGTTTTCATGTAAGGCAAGAGTTTTTCTTATTTTAACATTTTCACGCACGCAATTTAAGCTACGCTTTCTTACAGGCATTATGTACTAGTGCAATAAATCCTGGTCTATTTGAAAAAAGTTTACGGGTTCAGACAAACAAACTCGCGTAGACGTGACTTTATTTAATAAAACTTCACGAACGTAACTTTATTTAATAAAACTACACGTATGTAACTTTAATTAATAAAACTACACGTACGTAACTTTATTTAATAAAACTACACATAAATTAAACAAAAAAGTAACGTAATGGTATTTATAATAGTGTACAGAGTATGAAACAGTTATGAGCGTTAGTATGTGACCGTAGTGTAAAACACGTAGTAAAGGAAAAAGTAGCTTAAAGGGGTTTATAGCAGTCTATGAAACGAACTGAAGCTAAACTATTGCAAAGTAAAGTTGTAATGAAGGCAAACTAAGTTAAATCTACAGAAACGCCTGAATGTGTTCATAAAGTGATAAGAATATGGTTTTGAACGAACTGCGCATACGTATTTAACACCTAAATAAGTCGAAAAAGCCCATAGAAATTGTATTTAGTGTAATGTTAATTTTTAGGAAGTTACACGCGGGTTAAGTGTTGTTTGTGTGAAGTACTTTGCAAATAAAAAACTAAAATTGAAATCGAAGCCAGTCGTCACGTGATGACAACGACATTATGCCATCGTGTACCATACTCGTTCCATTAAAAAAATTAGTTTAAGCAAAACAAAACAACAAAAAAAAAAACAGGTAAGGTGATTCTGAATTGAAAAGCCAACATGCAATCTGGACTCCTCGGGCAATGGCCTTTCTAATGTTATGAGATTTGTAGCGTTTGATCAAGAAATTTGTGAGAAAAGTTACGGACAAACAAACACAAGCGTATTATAGATATATAAGTTGTTTACAAGTATTGATGTACATCATGCACATTTATCCACTGTTCCTTATAAGTCTTGATATACATCATGCACATTTATCCACTGTTCCTTATAAGTCTTGATATACATCACGCACGTCTATTCCTTATAGTTTACAAGTCTTGATATTCATCTATTTGCTATAGTTTAAAAAAATTCATATACATTACGCACATCTATCTACCATTGTTTACAAGTCTTGATACATCTATCTATTTTTTTATTTTTTCAACTCCATGAAAAAATTAAATGAAAATTTAATATAAGTTCACATAATCCATGTTATTATTGTAAATAATAGCTTTCAAATAAAATATTTCAATTTTAGCCTTACTTTCTTCAACCATGTACAACATAATACGGTCAGTTTTATTAAACGTAATCTATCATTTTAAACAATATTAAATTGCTGATTTTATTAACCAAGCTTGGAAGTATCATTCAATACATTATCAATATATAAAGTTAAATCTAGTTATATATATATATATTTTACCATGCTCATCGCAATGATCGAACCTACATTATAATGTTATAAAATCTTCAGGATTACCGCTGAGCTAAAGAGGGTATGTATAATCTGAAAAATAAATATTATAGGTTCATAGTGTGTTACATATATTAAATACGCTTTATTTTATGTCCAACACCGTTTGAAACAAGAAACAGAACACATTTCTAAGAACCAAAATAATATGTGCGAAAAACAGCTATGTGCATGATATTTATAAAAGTCAGGTACTTCATAGTACTAACACGTTTATTTACGATCCCGTTTCTTGAAATGTTCTCAAACATCTAACTCTTGAAATCAATAATTACAGAAAAGTTCTAAATACATATAACCATTAAAATATGGGTGCTTCTGAACTTACGTGGAACAATTAAATTTGTTGTGATTACTAATGGCCAAAAGTTTAATACAGAAAGCTGTCGAACTGTTTACTGATACAAGCTATCAAGGAGAGACAAATACGTTTTACCTTGTCGTCAAACTATGATGAAATTTTTTATTTGGAAGCCATTAAAATTTGTTGTTATTGATTCAAGACACGATTTGACATGAACAAAATCCAGTGTCTAAATCTCGCATCAGAACCTCCAAAAATATCCAGCAAAATGTGTTGTTGAAGTTCGCTTTTGTTGTCCCATTATTAAGAATTTGACAAACTAATTATCGCCTGGAGGAATGGTTGTAAGAAGTGAATAATGCCCCAAAATATTAATTAATTAAACTGATTACTGTAAAACTTACGATTTCATCTTTAAGCTCCTATTAACATTGTCAAGATTATTTTTTTTAACTGTAGTAAACTTGAACAAAAATAGAAGATTTAAAATTAGCTTAAGAACAAGGTTTATCCTTCTATAAACAATATGTCACCATCAAATGTAGGATGTAGGATGTAGTGTGCTGTCCCCTTTCACAAGAAATCCCCCCCCCCGGTGGCTTAGCGGTAAGTCTGAGGGCTTATAATGTATAGCTTTGTGTTTTACAACAAACAAACCACAGAAATAAATAAATTAATATTCTTTATTTGATGTAAAGCACAAAGCTACACAATGGCCTACTATGCTGTTTTCAGCACAACCCAAAATTTTATTGTGATATACTCCCAAGTTTACCGTTGAGCCACTGGAGGGCAGTATATGAGTAAATAAGATCAAATTAAAAATTTAATGTTAAATAATATTCACATCAAAAGCGGTTTTGAAAATTAATAGTAATGCACAGTAGAAGAAAGAAACAACATAAACATTGTAATTTAATTGATGACAACGTTACACAACATACATATAGCTAAGAAAAAAAATGTGGAAACTTGTACAAACAACGACATTTAAAGTAGATACTTTTAACAAGGTGCATACTGTATGTCTAAAGAATTAAGCTGATTGTTCACATAATTCCTATTAGAAAAAATCTGAGGTTTTTATCAGGTGCCATTGCTTTCAAAATCTGTGTAAATATTGTAACATTGAGCATTAATATCGTTAATTTTTATTTAATTAAAAAAATGTATTAACTATTAGAAACTGGAGTATGGTAAATCATTTTTTAACTGGAAATATAATCCTTGGTGAAAATATATAAAATGCACACTCAAACAAATTTTATAAAATGATTTATTCTAAGTAGAACAAAAATCGATCTAAGTTCGATTGGTACAGGTTGGTAATGGTTTATTCATTAATTTAAAACGTCAACACAATAGCTAGACTCCATTTCACTTACATAACCCTAAAGAAAGGCAATAATGAATATAAAATAATACATATATATATATATATATATATACAGAGAGATTTTGGACATCTGACTAGAGCTGTGCTCTTCACGAAATTTTAAATATTCCTTTTCACACAAATTACTTGTAAGTTTAGATTTTTATACGTTTTAGTGGTGTCGTTCTTCTAGTTTATAACATGAAATAATTTTTTTTATTATTCTTTGGACCAAGACATTGTATTTAACGAAATACTCAAAGCACTAAGTAGAATTTTTTTTAAACATTCAAGTGAAAAATGAGTCATTACAAAATTTTGTTCACCTTTTTACTTTTAATACTTATTTTCGTTTCATACAGCATTTCGTGTTCAACTTGATTGTTATTTTCATTACACGTTCGATAAGTACGATGACATATTTTGTTGCAATGTCTCTCTTTTCTTTATTTTAGATAATTTAAAACACAGTTATTCTCAACAGTAATGTTTATCTATATTAATAAACATAACCAGTTGAATTACATTTGGTGAACAAAAAGTTATATTTATTAAACCCTTATACTTCTAATAGACATAGCGAACTAACCTTCATAATTAGCAATATAATTTAATGGGTTTGTCATGGAGTCATCACAACGTACATCCAAAACAGAGCTACATACATACTAACTACTATGAACTACACTACCTCACATTCTTAGTATCTGGTACTAAAAGTTAAAAGGCGCCTGGTAACTATTTAATTTAAATAATATTTTTGTACCTGCTCATAGTTACATAATTTCATTATTTCTTTAACGAAATTATAAAAGCTATTTACATGATATTTGGGATAAGGCGAGGTCGTGTTTGGTAACACAATTCTCTTATCTAACTGTCAATATGTTTAACTAAACTTTAACGACCAACGAACTTCGGTTTATGGTTTAGATAAGAGAGCTTCACTTTGTTCGTTACAAGTCCAGAAGCTGTGATATTCGTGTTCTGTAAGGCAGAACTTGTTGTTGAATTACCAGTAAATATTCCTCAAATGTCTAGTGTTATTTTACAAAACCCTTTTATTTCAATAAAGTCACACATTTTACCCCCCCCCCCATCCCCCCTGGAAGCATGTCACGAAAAAAACTTACCGCTCATTTTCCTTCGTAATAATAGTCTAGCCTAGCAACATAATTATTCTACAATATACCTGGCCAGAAGTTGAACCAGCTTCACAAAACATTAGGTATCATTTCATTATGGGAAATGGTTACGGTCAATGTAAATTTTGTATAAATATCTAATTAGAAATGTTTAACTGTTTACTCCCGAAGATCGTCCTATACTTAGGACAGTGTCACAAGCGTTGCGGGTTTCCTTTTCTGAAGACCGAGTAAGTTGAAATATGTGTTTAAATCCATAATAGAGCCAGTTTCACAGGCGTTTGAATACCGTTTCAATTTCACTGGAAGCCTAAGTCTCGAGAAAAAAAAAGATTAAGGTAGAATATATATAGTATTTCTTGGACAAAACACTTGAGAATGCACTGGTATTCAAAATATAATAATAACACACTGGAGATGCCAACATAGTATAAAATATTTGAACACTTTCAGACAAAGTGCTTTGGGTTAGGGATAAGCATTGAAATCCACACGTAGTCATTTTCCGTAAAACAAAGCAAACTTGTTTCTGGGCCTTCTAGAGTTTTGCTTGAAGATTCAAAACATATGCTTTTCCATCAAGTTAATTGTATTTATTTACAAATAAATAAAGTTCCTGATTGAAGTTACAAAAATAAATCATGTATAACGTTTGTTTGTTAACAGTAAATCGATTACCCAAACTTCTATTTTGATTCTAGTACTGAATTTTCTTTACATTAACCTAAGATAACCTTCAGCTCGTTGTGTAAAGAACCCTTCAAATGTCTAGTATTGGTCAATTCCTCAGGGAATCTAATTCACTATTAAGTATCTTACTGATTCATACACTTCTCGGATACATGATTATTGGAGCAGTCACGAGGTACAAACTGAAGGTTTCTAATCATCATCCATGTAATGAGTGGTGTAACTGAAATTCTTAAACTGCGTCTGATCCATCGATTCCAGTATCTGAAGATCAACAGGCGTGAGGGCTGGCTTCTCCATCGTGAAGTTACTGTCAAAGTTGCTGGCATCAAAAAGGTGTTTCTATAACAAAATACAAAAAACATACTTATGCTCACCATGGCAGTAGTTATACTATTTTAGAAATAGACATAAAAAATAAAAGATTATATATATATATATATATATCTGTCTGTGTATATCAAAGACATTGTACAGTGAAGTTAGTACCTTCCAGAAAATTTACAATTATTTTTTTCTCAGAGATAATTCCAATTGCATCTCGTTCCAAATAGCGGCATTTATCTTGATTCTAACGATCAACCGCAGTTAAGTTCAACATGTACAAAGAAGACAGCCAAGCTAGAATAAAGGGGTCAGCCATATAAAGATGTAGTATCATAAGAAGTGGCAAATTAAATGGTCAAACTCCTATAAAAATGTAATGTAAAAGTGGGTATACTTAGCTTCCTCTTTTATTGTAATTGGAACAAGAAACAAAGTAAAGGGGGGGGGTCAAGTTTTCCCAGTCTTTTCTTGTTTAACTTACCACTTTTACATCTTTACAGGGTTTGAAC